CAGTGGTTGACAAGGACTGGGAAGGCTAGGTTAGTCTTCGTCCTTAGCCCCCACCCCACCTGAATTCTCCTTCTGGCCACACCCGCCACCCACAAAGCTCAAGGGAAGAACCCAGTAAAGCAAGGAAGAGGATCCAGTTCTCAAGAGACATAAGCAGAGCTCCCTATCCATCAGTAAACTGAGAGATGATCATGATGGGCCCAAGGACTCCTCCTTGGCTATGAACATGTGGTTCTCCACACCCATGAAAATGGTTGGCTCGAAGAAGAAACCTAAGGGGCAGACAGGATTCCATGGTGTGTAGGGTGGGTGGTCCTCTCCCAGGCCAGGCCTGGGTCCCACCGGCCACCATGCACACATTTCTACTCTGGCACTGCAATTTGTGACACCTTTGTGGTGGAGGCCACATACTGTGGGTGCCTTTCCTGCCCAGGTGTATGAGTCCATGGGATCCTCACAACCCTTTCAACTAAACACTGATGAAGAAAACAAGGCTAATGCTCTGTGTTGGTCTGTGATAGAACAGCAATTCGGTATCTAGTATAGCTCCTCAGGTGGCTCTCCATCAGTCCCTGTGGAGTAGGTTGAGTAGAGGGAGGTTGGACACGAGTTCTGATGGACAGGATCTCCCAGGACTGCTTCCCATCTCCTTCTAGGCACCTCAGTGTGGGTGCTCATGTCCCAAGCACAGGGGCGAGTGCCTCCTGCTCTCCTGTCAACATACGCCCACCACCTACTCCCATCCGGACTGCTACCCCTACAGGCCCTGGTTCTAGATGGAACCACCTCTGACAGCATAAATGCTTCTTCTATTTCTCCTCTAGGCACAGAGTGCAGGGGCCCTGAGACCCTACTGGACTGAGATTTCATTTAGCCTAAGGGAAAATTGAGAGACATGAAATTTTCTCTTTCTGATTTTTAGAAAAACAAAAAGAAATTAACTTTAAAAGTAACTTAAATAAAATATTCCATACTTTTCATACATTTGTAAATTATATTTTAACATTAATTACAAATTTTAAAACCAAAGTTAGGTATGAGGGGTGCCTGGGTGGCTCCGTCGGTTAAACGTCTGACTTTGGCTCAGGTCATGATCTCACGGTTCGTGAGTTCGAGGCCCGAGTCAGGCTCTGTGCTGACAGCTCAGAGCCTGGAGCCTACTTCAGATTCTGTCTCCCTCTCTGTCTCTGCCCCTCCCCCACTTGCACTGTCTCTCTCCCTCCCTCTCTCTCTCTTTCAAAAATAAATAAACATTAAAAAAAAGTTAGGTATGAACACATTTTGGCTCATGTGGTGTGGCCTGTATTCACTCCATCTGCAAACGAACTGTTGCCCATCAGGTGCTGGAGGCTCTGGGCTGGCCAGGCTCTGTCCCTTTCCTGTTCCTTCATACTCTTCTCTGCCCTTCTGGGCCCCATGAGGGGGGCTGTATGCCCATGCTCCCTCATCTTCTGGCTTCCAGTACAGTTTTTACCTCATAGCTCTGCCCCTCACCAGATTCCAGGAATTCTATGCCCTCCTCTTGGCCCTCAGGCCAGGGGATGGTGATGGTGGCTCCCCATTGTTCCTGGTTTTGAGGTAATGCACTCCGTCCCCTCACTGCTCTGCAAACCATGCCTTCAGTTCACTCTTTCCAATCAGCCTCTGAACTCTGGCATCATGGAGGCCCTAGTCCGCAGGGGGGCAGGGAAGGGAGTGAGTAAGCAGAGTGGCAGTCAGTGTCTATAAAATTGCCACTGTAGGAGATTCCAGGGAGCAGCTGTGACACAGGAGCACATATGGTCTGGGTCTGGATGTTATTTGAGCTGGTTGATGAATTCACCAGTTGGGGAAACGGGAGCTGGTTGCTCATCAGAGGAGCAGAAAATGCACAGGGAGCAAGAAAAGGTGAGATGTATTCAGAGAGAATAAAAAATGGCTGGAGCATGTGTCATGGGCGAGCAAGTTAGAAACAGATCATGGAAGACCCTGTGTATGAAGTGAGGAGATTGAGCTTGTCACTGCAGGGGGATGGGTCCCTGTAGAAATTGCTCCAATGTTGGGGAAGATATAAGCAGACTTCTGGCAGCTACATGAGTGAAGGGTTAGCATGGCTCAAGAGGTTCCTCAGGAAGCAGACATGATGGTCCAGGCAGGACAAGCTGTGGAGAGTTGGCAGGATGGTAGGAGGGATGCAGGGCAGGCAAGAAAGATTTTTAATTTAAGAGAATCAGGCAGTTAATTTAGAGTAGGGGGTCAAGAAAAGAGAGGAGTCTAACATTCATTGTTTCCTTCCCTCCTTCATTCCATGAAATTAACTCAGGTTTCATATGAGTCTCAGTGCTGGCATGAAGGACCTAATGGTGTAGACAGAGACAGACACAGTGTCTTTCCCCATGTAGCAGGCAGTCTAACAAGGAAGCAGTTCAAATAGTCCATGCTGCAGCTCCTGCTCCTCTGGCTGCAGTGACTTGATAAGATGGAAGATTCCAGACAGGCAGGTGTATGCCTGGGTCAGGTTGGGGCTGGGGGAACTCAGATGTGACGGATTCGGTACCCATTCAGTTCAAAGGGGCCGTGGACATAAAGGTGGAGGTGTCCAGGTGGGCAGGATTTCTGGATGAGGAGGAGCTTGGAGACAGATATTTGGGAGGGTACGAGCCACTGCAGGGGGTGAGATCCTCCAGGGAAAGTGTCTGCCATAAGCAACACTCCAAGCTCAGGAGAGACTTGAGCATACCTCCATTTAAGGGACAGGTGGTGAGGGAGGTTCAGTGAAGAGTGGCCACTGAGAAGTAATGCCAAAGATAGAAAGCCATGAAAGCCAGTGCCATGGAATCCATAGGAAGAGAGAATTTCAAGGATGCACAGAGGTGTATGGCAAATTAAAGTCCACTATGATACACATTAAACCAGCACTGACTGGATTTCAGCTTTGCTGTCTTCACCTTGCCAGCACCACGCCTGGTCTGGCAGGTGTCCAGATAGCCAAGGCCATGGCATCCAGTGTCACAGATGGGCCCTGAGGCCTGGGAGCCTAACCATGGCCTTCACATACCTCCAATTAGAAGTAGACAGGAAACCAGAGGCCATGCTACTGGCCTTTCAGTTCACCCAAGTGGAGTGCTCTGACTGACCTGGCCGAGGGACTTGACTCCCACCACAGACCAACGTGGCCCCTTCCTCCATGCCACGCTGGCAGTACTCTATTAGCTTCCGTAGGTGGGCTTGGTGGTTCTGCGGCCCATGGTTGGTGTCCCGGTCTAAAGGGTTACCGATCTTCATCCTCTTCACCTCTTCTACCTGTGGAAAGTTCTCCCAGTCAGGTCTTGCTCAGGTGCCCAAGTTCCTGGCAATGCTCCAAACCTGACCCACTGACATTTTTGCATTTGGCCTCCAGCCACTGGCCCCTGAAGAAATTCCACACACCCTCAGGATGTTCCATATTCTGGTTCCAAACATGCCTTCCAAGCTGAAACCCAAGATGTATCCTATGTGCAAGGAGACCTGAGCGTAGCATCAGATGAGCTGGGAAAACAGAGGTGTCCAGGGATATGGGTGAGGGCCAGACATGGGGTTGGGGGTGGTGTCAACAGAGTGTGTCTCTACACTGGTCCTGTGCCCAGCTTCACAGGCCAAGAAGCTGAAAGAACATTTGTCTGGGGATTCCAGAACATGGGATGGGGATGGGGATGGGGCCAGGGAACACCAGTCCTGCTGCAATGCCCCGGTGGTAAGAGTAGAGCAGAGGGGCCTGGGCCTTGAGTTCACCCACTCCTGCTCCCACTTCTGCCTGCTTCAGGGCCCAGCTTCAGGGCCTCCTCCTTCCAGGAAGCCTTCCCTGTTGCCTCAGCCAACACAAAAGTCTTTGCTGCCTGGAGACGCAGGTCTGGGTCTCCACAAAGGATGTGCCAGATGGTGTCTGCTGGATTCTGGGGCTGAATGCAGAGAGTCATAAAAGCCTCTGAGTATGGGATGCTGTGCTATGGAAAAGAACTCAGGTGGCATAACCAGTGGGATGTAGACATCAGAACTTCTGGGCTCCAGGCTAGGATCCACCCCTTCCATTTTTCTCTCTCCAGGCTCCTTCCTTGGTTTCCTAAAATCAAACAAGGTCATCTACACCCTCCTTGTGGCTGCATCAAGGTCAGGCCTGACTGGTCATCTCCTCTACCTCTGAGGCGAGGGCTGTCTCACCCCTCCATTCAGGCTCTGCGCACACACTCCAGACAGGCCTAATCAGATGCAGCAGACACTCAAGTCCCTGAGGAACACCCTCTGCCCTTTCACCAAGAACCTCTTCTCTGTGCTGAAGGGGGTCCCCATCTCCTGCTTTGCTCCCCTTCTCTGCTCTCACTTGGCCACCCTCCACCCAATCTCCCTAGGATTCCAAGAGCAACAGTGCTGAGTGTCCTGAGTGCACATCTCCCTTGCTATATTTGGGAACTGAGATGATCCTGACAGTTATCCTGGGATTCTGACCCCTGACCTCATCCTGCGGGGGTTCCATAACTCTCTTGCAGACTCCAGAAGGGTTGTACTCCCCATAACCACATCCACTCAGTGAGCCGCCCCCTCCATCATGATTCCCCATCCGTGTCCCAGGTTCAGCTATTCCTGTGCTGGGCGTGTCACAGCGAAGGACTTGCTCAACCAGGCTGCCCAGCTCCCAAACTACAGTGGGTTATACACCCACTGTATGCACTTCCCATCGGGGTGGAGCTGGTTTCCCACCCTTTGAAACTGGGGTGGCCTGTGACTTGCTTTGGCATGTAGAATGTGGCATGAGCAACCTTTGAGAGATCCAAGAGGGCTCTCAACTCCTGCTCTCACTCTTGGGAATCCTGCCACTGGCCCCACATGTGCCCGAGCACACACTGTGAGAGGAAGCAACACAAGGACAAAGATGAGCCTCCCCAGTGCAGCCACCAGTGCTCCTGCCGGCCGCAGATGCACGAGCCAACCTCAGGTGAAACTGGGTTGGTGCCCACGGTGCCAACCCACAGGACTATGACTGCATGAACAGCATTTACCAAAGCCACTAAGTTTGGGGACTAGCTTATGACATGGAAAAAGCTGTTACACTCCCTTTTCTAGAAGGTCTGCTCCTTTCCTCCCTGCCTTTCATATTTTTACCCATTATGCAAGACCCTCTCCAGGGACACC